CAAACTCATTCTATAAACTTCCCAATTAAAAGATTGTATAATTCACACATGAAACTCGAAATGAAACGATGTAGTATCTAGTATGTACCAAAAACCACAGCAAATTGTCTGCCATATTGACAATTAATTATGAGGCTAAGTGTAGGCCACGTGTCTCCAAACGAGGAACTTTCAATTTATAATATAAAGTTTTCAAAGCACTAATTATACATAATGTGGGTCTTTTATGCCAAATTCTGCTGGTTTACATTGACACCAAAGCAAGAATTATTATAGATAAGATTGTTTATAGTACTTAAACATAAATTAAGCTGTCTGATCAATATCTTTGTCCAATGTATTTACTTTTGGTATTGCTTTCGAAATGATTAAAGGAAGCTTTTAAATTCCTTTTAGACGTTGTTTAATGCCATTTCTGATTTCTATTTTCACTTAAATATGTATATATATTCCAGAGATTATTAATTGGAATGTGTAAAGTCAAAAAAAAGCCATATATTATTCTACGTTTGTGTCGCATAATTATACATATTGGTTGTTAATTTGTAAACTCACTTAGCATATATTATTGTTGAACACGATACAAGAAAAACATTAAATAATAATAAAACACTATACAAAGATAAACAGTATCGATAACTCATGCTCTCTTCTTTCTATTCTCACCTTAAGTTTTTCAATATTACAAAAGATACATAATAAAAACCTAATCCCATTTGAGTTTATCTGAATCTAACCCGACACAGGTCCAAATATTAGTAAACTAATTCTAAACCTAATTAGACATTGGGCTGACTGTGAATAAGTCGTCATAGACAAACAATATATTAAGGCTAAGAAAAGTATATACCATATCTAATAACTATATAGTACCGTAGTGACTAATGTATGGTATAATTTATATCCAATACCAATAAAGTCGGCAAGTGTAAATTAAAAGTAAAGTCGAAGCAATTTAGCAGGAGAAGCCTTTTGATTTTATTTTGTTTTTCTTCAAATGTGAATTAGCAAACGATCAACTCTGATATAATTTTCTGTTCATCATCTCATCTTTGTACAGTGTAAACAGGGATGAGGATAGTAGGAATTCAAAGCACACGCTTTTAGCCAACCGCATCTCATGCTACTCAGCAAGATTCATGAATTCGAGAATAGGAATATTGGTCCACAAAAAGGAACTAGTTCGATCATACTTTTCTCTTAAAACCCTCGATGGGTTTAAGTTTAACAAGTACGTTTCCATAAATAAACAAGGAGATATGGGGTGACCTTGTCTTAGAATTTTTTACCAGTCTTTACCTACTCTCCACGAACCAGCAAATTGAAAATTAAGCTTCCCTTTATTAGATATAGTAAATGGAATTAATCAGTTTGATTCATTTACGTGATGCCATTGACGAACTAACCGTCGTCAATACAGCTTATTTTGGGTTCAATGGAGCCAACTCTACCTACTACCAAGGGAAAAATTGATGGCTGTAACTGGTGAGACAATGACCAGCCTGTTGACATGAACCAGTAGTGCATTCTTCTAATAAACTTGTCAATTTCTTAGAGGGTCCTAGCATTCTCTGTTTCGATCAACTCCCTACCAATTATTATTATCATTTGGCATATTCTGATCACTCAAGATATTATTCACATAACTAAAAGTCTAATTTTTTTCTACTATTGAAAGGCTACAGTTCCTTTCTGGCTAAGCAATCAGCTTTATATATATATATATATAGATACATCTTTTTCTACTATGTACATTTTTTTCTTACCTAATAAACAAGTTATGAAATCAATATCAATTCTATGGTCTAAACTCTTAACCACTACAAAGATTTTAACATTACAGATGGGATTTTCTTAAACTTGAACGATTAACATTGTAAGAAAGATCTAAATGAAGCTATAAATCTTTAGTCTTGATGCGACTGAAGCACTTGTGGAAACGTCAAAAAGAGAATGAATTTATATGGTTGGTATGGTGGTAAGGGAATCAAAGGTTATTTTGTTAGTGGAACTCGCTTACCTCATGGCAACGACGTGGTGCATACCTTGCCTGAAACTTTTTATGTGGTGCATTTTTGAACCTTTGAATTCTGGACCTGATCAAATTCTTTAGTTTTCTTCATCGCATATGATTGATCTTTATGAAAAAGAAACACCTTGTGGAGCGCATGAAACAAGATATGTTTAAGAGAAATTGGACCCAAATCAAACAGGGAGTTTACTTTGAAAACAACTGCAGCTTTGAAGATCAAACAAAAAAAATATATTTTCCACTGAACGATAAAAGTTTTTTTCGTCTAGGACTCAAAGTCCTTCTCATGTTTTTTAGCTAGACGTTCAAAGTTCAATATAGTGAAGAGGCATGCATGTCTCATTTTCTTGTATATATTGTCTTCAGGGCCCCTACTTTTTGAATATAATTAACTTGTTCTAATTTCTGAACGTGTTACACAATTCGATTCCAATTTCCAAGTATTATTCAGATTTTACTGTAGTAGATGCCCTCCGAAAGCTGATGATTCAAGTGGGTTCCATAATATAATATTCTAGATATACAAAAACATATAATATATTGTATTCCAACGACTTCAGAACATCTCTAAGGCTGCTATATGCCTATACCATAAACCAGATTAGTCTAAAATTCTTAAAATAATAGTCATTTAAAACGAGTTTAATATATTAATGTATAAGTGGTAATTATAAATCAAAACTCACATTATTCGGACGTATATGGGTCCAGATATATATATATAAAAATTGGGAATATATAATAGTGTTATTGGAGGAAAGTTACAAGAAGAAAGGAATGACTAATGTAATTATCAAAGCCACTGCATTTTAGAGAGGCCAATGGACAAATACTAGAAAACAAAAACTGATTGCATGCGGAGGAAATTGTCAGCGGCATTAATGAAAGACAAACCCCATTTCAAGTGTGATTCAGATACAAGAGTTGGTGGGTGATTGACTTTAGCTTTGGTGGCGGACCCATGGATAGCAACTCTGGTCTTTATACGTAAAACATCTTCTAGAAGCCTAACTATTCATCAGAAACCAATCTCACTGTTCCAAATCTAATTCAAGAAAATGAAAATATATTCATTTCTGATAATTATGGGCGTTAATCTATATTAATATACCCTGATTAAATGAAGGGGTAATGTTCCCTGGCTAGCCTATATGAAGTGACAAATTGACCTGTCCATCAATCAGTAACACTTCTTTTAATGACACTTATATTGAACATCAGATCTAGTTGGATTTAATCTGTCTGTGAATCCTTAGGAAAATGAAAGGGAATTCTGTCGATTCTAGTGCTTAAATGAGGCGTTGGTTGTTGCAGTTGCTCCCTTATGTGTCAATGGAGTTTTCAATAAAATTTAATGAAATGAATCAAATGCTCGAAATCCTCCTTTAAAACTTAAAAGCATATCTACAGTCATCACGATATAAATGTGCTAGGGTCATATTATTTTGCCATGCGTGAACGTCTTTATTTTCGTTCTTCGATATCTGTCATGTTGATAGGATTGCCTGGCCCTTTATAACCTCATTTATCAAACAAATTTTTACTGTATGACTTGAAATCAACAGTTGATATAGAAAGATTTTGTTACGGAATTAATTATGAAGTGTATTATAAGTTAGACCTAATTTCTTTGAATATTTTTAATTTCCTGGTCAACAATTGTATTCTAAAACCTATCATTTTGAATACATTTTTTTTATATGATTTAAATGATTTTTTAAACGAATTTTATAACAACTATTAGATTTGACTCTCAGCAAACAAAACTAGTGCTTCAGTGCTTTACAACATGGTCTTCTCGTGTTGAATGGGAAACGTTTTTACAGAGAAAGGAGTCTAATCTCTACTCAAGTAAAGATGGAGAGAATTAATGGTGGCTGAAATTCTCTGTGGTTTTGAGTATATATTGATGAGGATGAGACACGTCATTCTAAAAGCATATACAAATGGCAATTAAGCATGCAAGCCATGTGTCACGTAAAGACCTGAAGCTGATGGCCACAATTGATTTGCACCAGAAGAACCCAAACAGAAATAGTTTGGTGGCCGAGTGGAAGAATATAAAAACTTCAGCAGGTGGGTAAACTGCTTGAACTTTGAGACCTTTGCCCATCCATTCTTCTTTCTTGCCCTAGATCGTTAAAAGGTGTAGAGACTTAAAGAAGATTATCTTTAGAATGTATTGAAGTAACCCACATGAAAGCTCCTCAGCGGTCCAAAATGATTTTACCAAATCGGAGGAATCAGTGATTATGTAATCTCCTCTGTAACTGGTAAATTATTAATAAGCAGAGTTAATATCTGTTTAAGAAATGGACTGTTGAGTTTGTATGAGGAACAGCTACCATCCAGTGGACATTAATTAATCAAATAAATTTGATCAGTTAGTCCGGTTGGTGAATGATGTCTGTCAAGTTGACAATGAACTTTTGTTCTTCTTCCTTTAATTTCTCCAGAATAGTTAGAATATTGTAGAGATATCTTCCGGGACAAGTTATATCTGATTGGAAAGAAATACCGGGTCTGGTCGACTCCAAATGTGATATATATATATAAACCACGTTTGATTTGAACGAATTAATCAAACAATATAGTTTAATCATGAACTTAAAAACTTTACATCAATTTTAAACGTTCAGCCCTGGCTGCTAGAGGTTCATATTTTGAATACAATTTAATTTATCGTATTAGTATAATGCAGATCACTTTCAATATTCTCTGGAATTGTAATGTTGTTATGTTAATTAATTGTTTCCTTTGTTAATTAGGGCCAAGTCATTTTCGTTCTAGAAACCCCATCTGTAATCTTCACATTGTTAGTATTAAATTCAACTAAACTAGTATAAGTTAGTTTAATAGCTTCAAAACAAATTAATCAAATAATTAATGACTATATATATATAAGGTTGTTATAAAGACCAGCTGTCGATATATATATATATGAATTTGATTCCAATTGTTAGTTTTCTTAGTTGTACTACATTATAAATAGTCAAAGCTTTCATTAAATGCCCTAGTTTCTCACCTATGGGTAGCCCGATAAGGGCGAACCAAGGGGCTGTGTTTAGGGATGTATNGTATGAAACTTACTTTGTAACTTTTCTTGAATCCATAGAGATTGCGACACCAATCACCACCACAGAGTAGCATTTGCAAGGTATCGAGAGACAACGATGATCGATAAGTGTTAATAACTCGACTCCCCGCACTGAAAGTTGCCTTTGAAGCAACCGTGATGTTTGGAATAGCAAGTATTTCACGAGCCATCTTAGATAGAATGCGATAGTTCGTTTGATTTACCTTCCACCACTGTAACGCATCAAATGAGGTATTATCCTCGTCCCATGACAAACATTTCTCCTCTAGATAACGATCTAACTCAGATTTCTCATGTTGCATCGTTTCAGTTGTCCTAACAAATTGACAGAACCGTGAACTAGAATGTTTAGGGCGTTGTACATTGTCTCGTTGAACTTGACTGATTTGCACAGGTGGTTCACTATTGGCAGATTGAGTTTTCGCTGCATATTCCTCATAAAGCTCATACAAGGCATCTTGCACTTCATCCATTTTGGCTTGTGCTTCTTCATTAGGATACATTTGTGGGTAGGCAAATTCCAACATCCTCATTTTCATCCTCGGAACCAATACAGCTGCAATTGCCATTACGAAATTGCATTCCCCCCAGTACTTGTCAAACTTTTCTTTCATCTTTCCCACCATTGACCGAATGAAATCATCATCATCAGAACACTTTTCATCTAGCAACTCTTTTATGTCAACAATTTCTTGCAAAAATAAGTTAGAAGTGGGGTACTCACTCCCCGATATGACATTAGTTGCCGAGTTGAATGCTTCCAAAATCTCACACACTTTCTTTAGATTTTCCCAATCTTCATCTTTTAGGGCAAAGGTAAAGTTATTATCCAACTGAACTAACATTGGAAACACATCTCTGTAATCAATTGCAAGTTTCAACATCTGATAAGTAGAATTCCACCTCGTTTTGCAATCAAGTATGAGTTTCCGTTTGGGTAACTGCAACATTTGAACAATCTCTACAAACATAATTGCTCTAGTCTCTAATTGCTTGACATACAAAATACAGTCACGTATGTCTTGAATGATGGGCTTAATCTGGGAAAGCCCATCCTAAACCATGAGATTCAATATGTGTGCCGCGCACCGCACATGAAACAACTTCCCACCACACAGTAGCTTCTTGTTTCTTCCCAAATTGTACTTCAAAATCTTGATTGTCGCGTCATTACTTGAAGCATTGTCAACTGAGATACTGAACACCTTGTTCTCAATTCCCCATTCAATTAAACACTTATGAATAGTAGCAGCAATCTCAACACCAGGTCGAGGAGCCGGTATATGAACAAAATTGAGCACACGCTTCTGCAACTTCCAATCATTATCAATAACATGTCCAGTGACAACCATGTACTCAAGCTTCTGATTAACCAACTTCTTCTTTTGTATCTCATATACAGTCATATAATGTTGTTTCAAAGCAGTACGCGTTATATTCTCCCATAGTGGCATACCACATTTTTGCATCATGTTAAAACCCTCCTCCTCCACAACTGTAAATGAATGCTCATGCATGAGCACCCAGTTTGCAGCTAGTTCCCGCATCAAATTCATATCAAACTTGGCATCTGAAAATGCAAGTGCAGATCGCATTGAGATATCATCCGTTGAACTGGGTGGCCGAAAAAACAACTGTGTTTGCATCTGACTACCTATTCGCTTCAAACATGATTTCAAATGTCTTGCAAACTGAATTGTGATCTTGGTCTCCGTTATTGCAAGCTTTGCCTTACAATGAATACACTCTCCCTTTGTAGAACCATCTGATAGAACTACCTCTTTAAATTCATTCCAAACCGATGATGTCTTTGGTCGTTTTTTCCTCTGAAAAGGATTAACTTGTTCCTCCTCAGTACTAGGGGTAGAAGTATCAACACCATCACCGAGTGTGCCTGTGGGTGTCGCATCGTCATCAGACCAGGTTTCAAAGATATCTTCTTCTGGTTGCATTTGTGAAGTGGAAGGGTATGTTGGATTGGGGATGAATGACAGATGCTCCATTGGAATAAACAAATCCCTCTGCAAAGAGAATATGTAGTCAAAATGCGAAATCAATTAACTTTGACTTGTTAACTTTTAATACAATAGATGAATAGAATAACATGGTTACTAATTCAGCACATTGTTTTAGCTTGTTCCGTAAAATTTTCTCATGTCTTTGTGTGTGAAATAAGAGTACAGGCTAATAATATGTAGTCAAATTGCAGCATTTTGACTAACATCTATGATACGTGTGACCATTTATGTTTATTTAATTCTTTCAGACAAGTCATTATGATCCCAGACAGTCTATCACCATTCACCACTGGCCTTTGCAGCTTTGCACTGAGACATTTATATGAGATTTTTATTTTCAGTCATAACCAGATTTCTTCATAAACAGAGGATTTAGTTCTCAAACACAACAAGTAGCTCCATATATTTTATCAACACTAACCTCATGCACATACATTACTCATTTCCCAAATCTATTATGAAAGTAATAATACTGAAACAATATTAGGTGATTTGTTCTGTAACTTGACAGCAAAAACAATTTTATTTTAGGCAACAGCTGAACAAACATGTGATATTGGCAATAACTCTTCTCTTAGAGGCATTTCATCAAACAAATAACAACTTCTCTGCAAACTTCCAAAAATTAATGCAACTCATATCATCCATCTTCCAATTTCCAAATACGCAGCAAAGTCAACATAAACCCAGAATAATTCGTAACTAAAGAGAGAGGAAAACAAAGAAATTTGTAATCAACTTAAACAAGCACTACAACAATATACACATATAGCTACGAAAATTAGCTACAAGAAGGAAAAATGTAGCAAATACATATTTACAGCTACAAAAGTCAATATTTATAGCTAATTAAAATAATTTTAGTGATAAGATTTTCTCCCTCGAAGCTAATATTCATCTTTTGCTTTAACTTATTAAAATTGCGGCAATAACTAGTCATTTAGCTATAATGCATTAGCTACAGTAAAACATTGTAGCTAATTAATGTATTTAGCTATAAACATTTCATTTACATAGCATATAGTATCATTATTAGCTACGAGTTTAACTCTATAGCTATTATTTGTGCATTAGCTATAAAATATTGAAATTTGTAACTAATTAATGTATTTAGCTATAAACATTTTATGTACATGGCATATGGTATCATTATTAGCTACGAGTTTAACTATATAGCTATTTTTTGTGCATTAGCTATAAAATATTTAAATTTGTAGCTAATTAATGTATCTAGCTATACAAATTTTATTTTCATGGTAGTAACAATATTTTAGTATCCTTATTAGCTACTAGTTTAAATATATAGCTAGTATGTGTGTATTAGCTATAAATTATTTTAATTTGTAGCAAATAAAGAATGTGAAAATTAATTTGCTATAATCCTTATAGTATGCAGCTATAGATATTCTAATTTATCCCCTGAGTAATTATACTTTTTTTACTTATGAATTAAATAGTTATTGTCAAACATAGTGTTAATCACACCGCTAAGCTCAATCATAAATTGGAACCTTCAACCAATAGCTAACTTAAAAGAATTTTTCCCAACTTATCAAACTTAGTTTCAATACAATTTAAATATCTCGAGCAAAATATTAGACTTTCTTCCACAATATACCCTTCTGCAATAGAACCTTCTGGTCGACTTTTATTATGAATATAACGCTTCAATTTTCTTATGAACCTATACAAATGTTTCTTCAACTACTTAATAACTTATTATAACCACACATTGATTAAAAAAAAAATAGATATATGAACTCATGAAAACAAAATATTGCTATCCGTTTGAGCGTCTGATGCTCAGCCCACTCCATGTACTCACTTGCTACACGTTTCAACTCAGTAATCAATAAGTTGGAGATCAATTTGCAAGTTCAGTCTATGAACAAGAAATAAAAGAATTCATTACAGAGCTTAGCAATGATAGGATTTAAGTGGCTCTCGTCTCCTTGTGATTTAATAAACTGTTCTCAAGGTATCAATTTAATTCACAATATAAGTTTGTTTATAAAAAATTGAACTTATTGAATCACATGAGACTATAGATAGTTTGTGTAACAATCGCACTATGTAAATATTATTCAAATTATTTTTCTTAAATATGTAGAATTTAATTTTCTTCATCACAATTTATGTAATTTATCTTTTAAATGTAAATAATTTATATACATTACTAATTATAAGATTAATTAATATGATAATTTGTTTAATCTTAGTTATGGTGGATCTTATTATTATTTAATTAGCTTAAACCCATGGACCTTATTATTATTTAATTAGGTCAAGTCCATTGTTGCTATTTCAATTAAAAATCAAATTTATACTTTCAAATAGGAGAAAGACTATATTTTTTCCCAAAATATAAAAGTAGCGGTAAAGATGAGCGTTTTACCCGCCCTGCCCCGAGCAGATTTAATTTTTTTAATATTAAAAGTAATTGATTACATGTTTACTTTGTTGAAATAGATTATATATAGACATGCAAATACGTCTATTAAAATCACCATTCATATTGCCTTAAATATTTGATCAAATATTTTTACTCAAATAAATGGTGTCTCTAACTCATAAAAATGACAATATCTCTTATGAATTATGTTTGGTCGTACTTTTTGTTTAACTAGAACAATATATCTTTCTTTTAAAAAAAAAAAAAATTATTGCTACGATTTTATATAGATAATAAAATAATATAAAGATGACAATTGACATAAAATGTTATATAAATCAGCACTATATATATATATATATATTTTTTTTTTTTTTTGCCCCTAACCATTAATTCCTTTTAGGTTTTATTTAGAAATTTATTATATAATTTAAAAAAAAAAAGATATTAATAAATCTGAATTGTTAACAAACTGCCCTGAAAATGTTCAAATATTTACAGCTTTGCCTATATAAACCCATTGGACCCACAAATTGCGCACACCCAATTCCAAAATCCAAAATCCAAACAGCCAAATGCCCAAACCTTGAAACCTAAATTCCTGATTTCCTGTCTGCCGCCGCAGCGCCGCTGAATTCCCCCTCTTCTGCTACTCGATTCCGGACTCCTTGGGAAATTAGCGATCTCCAGACTTCGGCCAGATTTATCTCGTTTCCCATCTGTGACTCTGTGAGTACACCCTCTTTCTCCTGTAATTGTTATATTTCAGTAGAAGCCTGTAGCCTTGTGTTTGTGTTTGTTTTTGTGTGATTGTGTNATTAATTCGAAGGGAAAAGTTTCAAACAAAATTCAGTCGATTTTATATAAATTAATTCGAAGGGAAAAGTTTCAAACAAAATTCAGTCGATTTTAAGAGGTGTTTGATGAATTTAAAAATCACATGTAAATCATAAATAAATCATAAAAATGGATTAGAGAGAAGTTACAGAAGGGAAGCAACGAACGCCAATGCTCTTGGGAGGAGGTGTAATTTCGATGACTTTATAAAGGTGAATGTTATGATCTCAATCACATGAACTGCTTGTGTCTACTAGTCAATAAATAATGAAACAAACATATCATTCACAATAGTAACCAACCATTAATCATTTCATGGTAACGGAAGTTTTCTACCTTTTGATACGTGCTGCACCTTGAAGTTGTAACTCAAACAGGGTAATAGAAGTGAAGAAGGGAAGACGACGACGGACAGTAGTAGTTGAAGGCTGGTCGCTGGTCAGTAGTAGCTGAATGAAGGTTGGATGAAGGCTGAACAACGATGGCGTCTCAGATCTTACAGTGTTATTTGACAGAGGTGAAATACAATTGAAGGGAGAAGGTCTTTGTTTTAAGGATTTTACAACTGAATATCTTTGTTTCAGATTTTAAGGCAAATCTGAATACGCGAGCTAAAACAAATTGATCGATCTCACAAGCTCTCCTACTCGAATGACGTCTTGAGTTTTTCAAAAGTTCGCGAGTAGTTCGAATCAAACCCAAAAAGCTTGACATTTTTCATGAGCTTAAAGATGAGCTCGAACTCGTAAACTACTCAATTTTCGACGAATCGAGCCTGAGTTCGTCATGAGTCGATCCCAAGTAGCTCACGAGCTACTCGGTTCGACTGCACCCCTAATAGTGATTAAGAGTTTAAGAGGGAATAGAGTAGATTTATTTTAAGTTTATTACAAAAATAATTCTACTCATGCAATGGCTTCAAGCTAAACCTGGTAAATTAGGGTAACCTTGTTGCTAGGTTCAAACAAAAATAGCAACTCCCAGAAAGAGTGAAGTTTCTTTGGACCAAAACATTAAATTGGACAATACCCAGTGTCACAAGAAGCATCTGATTAAACATCACAAAGTTAAAACTTAAAACTCGAAACACCAAAAAAAAGAAAAAACATAGAAAATATATAGAATAACCCAAAGTCCGTCTTAAAAAAACCAAAAAAAAAAAACAAAAACAAAAACAAAAAAAACTCTTAAGAGGCAGCAGTTTTCTCCTCTGCGGCAGCTTCAAAGGTCTCACCGGCCACAAGCTCTGGGACCTCATCATCATCTTCCTCGTGATTGTTGACAGCACCAGCACCGGCAGCAGGCGATTGCTTCTGGAACTGCTCTGCCAGCTTCCTCAAGTTGTCCAAGTTATCTGGTCCTGAAAATGATTTGAAAGCAAAAATGTTGTTCAGCCACCAGTCACAAATTAACTGACTGATCAATTGTTCAGGAGAAAAAAACAACACAAAATACATACCCAATTGGTTAATAATTCCTGGGAGAATATCCTGCAACTCTGTTAAATGGAAAAAAACCACAAGTTAATTCTCATGACATTACACTTATCAGAATTTAACAAAAACCCAAATACAGAATACCCAGGATAATCAATATTTTATGGATAGCTCAAAGACATTAACCAAAAAAATACAAAATAACTTTGTGACAGAACCAAATTCTTAGTAAGTAGACACAGTTTTATATATTATAGATTTTCTTCCAAATAAAAAATGAAAGATAAGCTTACTCTTGGTTTGCGGAGAGCCACTAACAACCCATGTATTGGCAGCAATGGAAGCTTGAACTGAATATAGGGAAAAAAAGTTATTAAGTCTGAAAAAGAGGATTATAATTTATTTAACAGATAAAAGGCTTATAACTTGTGTTTACATAGGCTTTACCTTTGGGGTTTATGAACTGAATAACTACGTCATCCTTGAAAATGTTAACTTCCTCAATTGCAGGAATAGCATTCACTCCTATTCTCTTCAAGGTGCTCTGAAGTCTTTTGTCATCAGTGGTGGTTGTCTTGTGGACAGCTTTCTTCTTTCTGTGGGTGAAAGAGTATGTTAAGAAAGAAAAAGAGTTTACTTCAAGTACAACCCAACCTTAATGACGAAACTAACACTTCTCCAAATGAAAGCAAAACTAATTCATCAGTACACAGTTAAACACACACACTGACCACAGGCAACAAAAGGTGCAGAATCTTTACAAAGGAAATAAAGCACTACACAAAGTATTGGTTTCTTCTGCCTCATGTTAGCATATCCACTCATGGACATTTCTTAATTATACTACCCAAAACACTAAGTTTATCATAAATAAAGAACCTTATTTCAAACATTAAGTTTTTTGGCTAGAAACTGAAACTGGATACTTGAGGACAAGATGCATAAAAACAATCATGAAGGCCCAAAAGCAAACAAAAAAATACAACAATAATCTAGTTATCAACCTAATTGAAAACAAATTGTTACACTAACACCACACAATTAATTCAATGCAAGGTAAACTTCCACACCTTCTCATGCTACCCTTTCCACCGGTGCGAACTGCACCAGCCATCTTCATTAGCCTCTCAACATTCATCTGCATAAACATGATAGAAAACAATCAGAACGAAATATATTGATAAAATCAGCCAACGCAAACCTAAAACAAAACATCAAGACTCTATAGAAAAACAAAAGGCAAAGGATGCTAAAAACTCCACAAAATCGAGGTGTCAAGAACCAAACGCGGCCTAAATATAATTGCAAGAGTTTTAAGTTCACACAATAAACACTACAAGACAAAACATAATCAGTGTAAGCTGAACGGAACAAAAAATGAAATTCATATAAGCATGCACATATCGAGATATCAAAATATGAGCCAAAACAGAGTACCAATAAATGATTTCAGCTGAATTAAAAAAACCTAATCCCAAAACAAATTAACAACAGTTCCAGGAGTAACAATAAGGGCGCAGTTGAAGCAGAGGAGCAATACTCGTTATCCACAATGGTGCAAAAACATTACTATATATTTCAACTCAAACCCGCATAATTAATCCCACAAAATAACCAAAAAAACCCTAGCTCAAACAAGCAAATATATTAACAACAATTACAAAAGGGATCCAATAGAAAACAACTTAACAATATAACAAACGAATAACAAAGCAAACCCATAAACCAAAAATCAAAAAAGCATAAAAAAAGTCAAGAACGAAGAATAAATGAATAAGAGAGAAATAGTCTTTAGAATATAGGAGAAAAAACAAGAAGACCCAGAAGGGAACAGAGAAAAAGACGTGTTTTAGGACTACCTTGGCTAGGGTTTTGAGTGGGGAAGGAGAAGATAAGAGAAGAACAGAGAGAACTTGGCTTCTTTTGTTCGCAGGCGGCGCTTAAGGTTTTGGTTTAGCTTTGCTTCGATATAAAAAAGCTTTCTCAGAGTACTTGTACATGAGTTATAATCCGACGGTCAAGATTCGTCGTGAGGTTATCCACGTGGCGTAATCTTAATGGCGTTTGGCTGGCTTTATTGAACTGTGAACTCATCCTCTGCCGTTCGATTTTAGTTGGGTATAGATCAAATCGATCCGGCTCTTTAACTTCTTTTTTCCAGGACGAGGCGATTAAAAAACATAAACCTTACCGGAGTTGATAAGGCCAGTAACGTACCAGGGCACAAATCTCCACCGTTGGATTCAATAGTAATCCGACTGACCAAGAATCTAATAGTAAAAACTAGTTGATAATTAGGGATGGGCATAGGCCGGGGTGGGGCCGGGGTGCCCTGTCTCTGGCCCTAACCCAAAAGCTCAAAGGGATTCCCTCATCCCGACCCGTAGTCCATGCGGAGAATCGCTGAATAAAGCCCGTTCTCCAAACGGGGATTTCCCGAATTCCCCGTTTGGCGGTTTTGTAATTTTGTGTCTTTTTATATCCTTATTGCTATTTTTTCCAAATTATAATATACTATTCAAAAAGAAATTAAATCTATAATGTACACATTAAACATAAAGACCATCATACTAAATTGATAATATATTATAATATGTACATATTACACATATATATGTTATATACATTATATTTATATACCATATATAATGTATAATGTATAATGTATAACTTTTATTTCATAGCATTAACATATTTTATATATATATATATATATATATATATATGGGTCGGGCTAGGGATTTCGGGGCGGGGATAAAATGAGGTCGAGCCGGGGCGGGGCGAGGCAAGACCTATCCCGACCCCGACCCATTCTTGAAATTCGGGACTGATTTTGAGCCCGATCCCGGCCCAAATCCAGAATGATTCGGAGAAACCCTACCCCGTTCGGGGCAGGTCCCTGTTGGGCGAGGTTTTATGCCCATCCCAATTGATAACGTTGCCAATTGAACAAGGTCTAGTCTAAAGCAAAGAATGCTATAATTAGGGGTTAATAATGTTGTGGATTTAGTTAATGTATTAAACTTAATAAAAAAGACCCTAAAAACTTAAGCAAATAGTACTGTAATTATTAATTAGGTGTTAATAATTCAATTAAGGTGTTTAATTTTTGGACATACTTTGTGGAAGCAAACTACAGAGTCCGATCATACGATTTTACTTAGATTGTTAACAAATCCTAAAAAACCAACTTTTTTCTATAATCATGTCAAGAAGACAAACTATCAAACTTGATAAGCTGACAAAGTTTGCATTTGATGATTAGCGCTACTCGAATCCAAAATATTTCACCACTCGATAATTAACAATAGACATTGATGATTATAGCTTTGCATTTGATGAAATCCGATAGAACTCGGAATCTACATGTTAAGAGAGTTGATGACTGCGATATATCAAAGATTCTTGATCCCTGCCATCAGTTTGGACACTGGCAATGATGTGTGTACAGGAACTGGGAACCAACAGCTCTATGTGCGAGGTAGTCAAAGAAATTGAGCACATCCTGCAGCCTGCAGAGTCCGGAGTCCATAGCTGAAGCCTGAATGGTTTCCACATCAAAAGATATATAGAAGCTGCAGAAATAAATAGCAATCTTTTAGCGTGGTTTTGCCATTGTAGTTGATATCAAGCCACTGTTGATCTGGACGTCTTACCCCTCTTAACTTTCTGGTTTTTTAGGTTCTCATATTACTGGCTGTTATAAGTTTGTAACTGGAGTAAGGCATTTCACTTAGCTTCCCAAACCTTCCCTCGTAGAAGTGCCATACTTCTGACCTAATCACATAAAAGATCAAGTGAGAATACTATTGACAGGTTTGGTCAAATCAGAGAATCAAAGGAGCAAATCAAAGAATAGCTGAATTTCAGATGTTGTACCAGTATGCCAAGAACTGAAATGGTGCATACTTTCCATAGTTCATTTTAACGTCATTTTGAACTGTTTTAATGGTACAATTTCTTTTATGGACCTGCATTAGCAAACTGTCAGATATACCAAACAAAATTTCACACAATGCATAAAGGAGAAACAAAACATTACCTGCTTTAAATGCCTGATTGTTTAGGAATCTGATGGAATCACATGGTAAATTCCCATGCATACAAGCACATTGGCACATGTAAATGGACCAAATCCATCAATCTTGCTCAACTGTTTAGTCAGCTTATCATAGCTGGCTAAACTTGCTTCACTACTGCAAATTTCTTCAAGTTGTTCTAACTGAATCCTGCCTTCAACAATAGCCAGGACAAGTTTTATTATACGACCTGCTCTGTAGCCAAGATTGCAGCGCTTTGCCAGAAAACTTTCATCAATATTTGCTAGTTCTCCTAGACTCGGAAAATTACCAATCCTATCACTAGCATATGTTTCTTTCCCTTTAGACTAAAGATCAGACACTAAACACAAATCACTTGTAGACAGCTCATGCGCTGCACATGAATCATCTTCAATGTCATCCTGAGGAAAGCTTGGGTTCAAATTCTCTTCTGATTTTCTAACACAATTCAGTTTCGAATCCAAATCTTATTCCAAGTTTGCTTTAACCTCTCAAATTTGTTAGTTAATGAGGTGGAAACTTTCGACAATTTCCTCCTCCTCTTCAAATCTTTTCCTGCTGGTGTCTTCGGAATGTAATCCTCCTGCTTAACTTCAGCAACCGAGCTACTGAATGAACAATGCTGCAACTCAAACTGAAGCTCACAAAGTACCCTAGCCATGCTCAAAGTCCTCGGCCACCTGTTAAAATTTAAATATATAGTTTACCAACTTTTTGTTAAAAATCAAGAAGAATACCAACATGTAGTCTAAGAGCACAAAAAAGATAATCTTTAACTCCGTAAGTTGTAAATTTTCATTTTTCTCTGCACAAAACACGCTAATATTGTCAACATTTTGTTTCTGTAAGCTCTCAACATCTACTCTAACCAAAAATCTAAGCTTCAACGCTTTTATACTCCATCACAAAACGTAAAAAAAAAAAAAAATTCACGATTAGAAACATTCAGAACAATTTGCAAGCATAGTTGCAATGCCTATAGCACATAAAATAAAATTCAAAGCAACTTTAACTGGCTGAAGCATTTTATCAAACATTATATAAGCAAAAAACAATCCTCGAAACAGAGCATAGAAACTAACTGGCAATTGCAAAGGAGCATGCACTTGACCATATCTTTAAACAAAGTAGGAGACCTAAACACTCTTCCACTGAAATCCTTCACAAAATCACAGCCTTCACCTACTTCTGAAGCAACCCTTTTGAACTCTTTCACATTCCTCTCATCACTCTCCGACAAGCGCAGCATTCTCGCAACTTGACGCACCAACGCATCTTGCTGGTGCTTAGAGAGCGAGCCAGATGGGGTTTTGTGGAGTTTGATTCGGAGAGAATGCGGGTCTTGGCGGGGTTGAGAAATGGTGACTGTGATTGACGGAGGAGGAGAGTTTGAGTGGACAGTGAGATGGAGAGGACGAGTGAGGGACTCTGTGAGTGGGTCCCAATGACTGGGAGATAACATGAACAGCCATGGCTGCAGACTGCTGTTTCGAGATCGAATTTTCCTGCTGTTTCTAGATCGAATTTTCCTGCTGCTTCGCTAATGGAAGCTCCAATACACACTCCTCCATTGCCACTTTCTCACTCTATGTGGAATGGAGGGTAATCTTCGGCTTTTAAATTAGAGTAATTCCACGATTATCAACGGGTGTGTACCGAATTTGTGCACCGAATGACGTGACTAAATCCTAACCGTTGATTTATTATCAGTTAATATTAATCAACGGTCAGGGTTTTATCACGTCATTCGGTGCACAAATTCGGTGTATATTTTTCGGTAACTCTATCATTTTCCTTTAAATTAATACATTCTCCTTTTAATATAATCCTTTGGGTGTGTTTAGTTGGTTCAATATATTGGTGACTAGGTTATATTAATATATTTGATTAGAAGGATAAATGAGTGGATATATTAAATAGATTTTTAAACTTTTCGTCATTTTTAAATATTAATATAATATTATTTTTATCGTTATTCTTTGAATTATTTCTTTTAACCACTACATTTGAAATTTTGCTAAAACAGTCGAACCATACAAAACTTTAATTTATAGCAAAGTCACCTCCACCCACTCTAAGCCACTGCCGACAACCAACCACCACCATTGGCAATCACTGTAATGGCGCACGACCGACGGGATCTAACCGATCGTGCGTCGGTAAGGTTGTTTCCGACCAGATCTGGTCGTTTCTGGCCATGGATCACATATCCATGGTTGGAAATGACCTTATTAGCGCACGACCGACCAGATCCCGCTGGTTGTGCGCCATTACGACAATTGTCTGTCGGCGGTCGGCGATGGTCCTGGGTGGTTGGGGGTATTTTGTTAACCTTTAAACTTTTTTGTAGATAGGGTGTTTTAGCTAAATTCTCAAAGTAGGGGGCCTAGGCTAATAGTTAGTTAGTATACATTTGAGGGCAATTGTGCCCAAAATTGTATTTAATTAAAGGCAAAATAGGTATAAAAATATTACTTGGTAATCCTTTAATAACAGCTCCTGGAGAGGGTATCTGATTACCCTCTGTTTAGCCAACAGTAAACACTATTTGCAATAAATGATATCCGTAATATTTTATTGCTTGCAAACCAGATAAGGAAATTTTAAAAATTAAATGAAGGTTATCCCTGTATTCTTATATGACCTCGAACCAAACAGACCCTTTTAACTTTGGTGAATGACTGATAAATAGTGTGAATAGATAAATAGGAGTCAATCCTTTTATGAAGCAAAAAGCAATCAGTCTAAAAGACTTTGACTTCTGAGGAATTTACTTGTGAAAGTTGAGGGCCTGCAACCTGGTTGTTTAAATCAAGGGGGTCAATTGTTTTTCTTCAGAAAAATGAAAAGAAACATGTTGAGACAAAAGGAGTTGAAAGGCTGTGATTTGTGAATGGTTTAAATTGCTTTTGATTTCATTTTAAGATAATATAGCATTAGCTATGGAACTCTCCTTCACTTGCAGTAAATTCAAAATTTATGTATCCAATACAAGTTCATTTGAGATTCAACAATTGAATAGTCGTTTGATAGAATCATGTACAATTTATTAGAGACTACTACCACTTCAATGAAACTTTCTTGCACCAAAAATTATAGTTGCATTCGCATCTATCAAATATTTTTTACTAGTATTCTTGCTTTCTGTTAGAGTAGGTGTCCTAGAGCGAATCAATTACTGTAGAATTGGCTCTTTGTCATAATGTTCATTGATCAATAAAAGATATTTTATTCTATATCATGTAAATCATCATTGAATATATTGATATATGTCCTTAGAATGGTAGAACCGTGATGAGGGTATCATGTTTCAAATCTTAATAGTGAGAACCCTATGAGCACATATGGTGGCCATTCTAGAAACGTCCGTAGCCCTAGTATTATTCTGAAGTAAGGGCACAAATAATATGGTAAGGCTATCATAGTGTTGAACGACCCTGTCGAAAGGTAGTGACTGATCTCACTTGTCAAGATTGTTTGGTGACAACCTAGTGCAACATATGGGTGCTTGCTGTAGGCAAGTTCACTGGACTGACCCACCAGAGGATTCCATATGGATGGTAACCCCAGTGTCTATGGAAAAAATCCTCTAACGAATGGTGGTGCATGTGATCCTTAGACTTGAGATCACCGGAGCGCCTTGTGCACCGATTGGTGCAGTTTGACACTAGCCCAATGCAGTTCTATTTAGAGCTGTCAATACGGTAGTGATTGGCTGCATCAAGGAGTGTATCAAGACTATGGTGGATCGACAGAGGATTCATCACTCCCGGGTATGGGGGAAGTTATCTCATGGCGCAATTCAGTAAATGACAATGACACTAAAACTATGGACACAGTGGGATTGAGTTGTTGCTCTATCCAGTTTATAATTCCGGTCATTGGTCCAGTAACTGAATACATACATATCGAGAGTAACTGAGGTTGACATTATTTCTATGCCTTGGTCTCGTTAAAAGGATTGGATTGTATGGTAACCATATCGTTGACAGGTAGCTACTTCACTGAATCCGAATCTATCGAGTGGCCATGATGCCTTGCTAGGGGCCAATCTTGGTCTGTGTGTAGTGAGACGATTAATTGGTGTTAATCGCGATACTACACACTACCAGTATGATAAGGAGCCTACGGGTCACACACATAGAAGATAATTTAAGAACCAGTTTATAAGAACGACATTTTCGTCTTTTTCGGGGAAAGGGTATTTTGATAATTTCACAGTGCAATTAAATTTGCTGAGGTCGTAGCCTTTATTTAATTTGATATTAAAATTAAACAAGTGAGATTACGTTTAAATATGTGTTCGTATATATTTAAATAAATTATCATTATTGTTAAATGTTAATATTATATATATTAATTGAATTTAACTGAGATACTGATAATTAAAATTAAAATATCTAAATGGGGCTGTTTGGATACAAGGGGCGTTTGGGTTGGTGCCCAAGTCCATTCCATAATGGAATAGGGCAAAGTATGCACTATATAAGTGCAACACTTTGTGAATTTAAAAAATTAATTCTTTCAATCATTAAGCTTAAAATTCCAGCCCCCTTTTCTTCTTCCTACGCCAGTTTGTCTCTTTGGGTTGAATCAAATATCTTTTGATTTTGTTCTTGGTTCTTAAGGCTAAAGAGGATCTAGCAAATCCCTCTTTAGTTCCTTGGGGTTATTTTCGTATAGACTACATTGGTTCATGTTAGGAAACGACCCAGTTGCACAACGGAAAACAAAAATTTTATACATCCGTAGATCGTTCCTTAAAGCCCAAAATCAAGGCACAAATTTTACAGTTTATGTATAATATCAAGAATCTACAGAAAATAAAATAAATCTAAAGTTTAGATTCATACCCACGTTGGAGGCTCTACCAATATTGTCTCTGAACGTGTTTGCTACCGATCCAAGTATAGGATCGAACCAAGAAGTCCACACGAAGACAACCACCAAGAACCAATGAGGGATTTGCTAGATCCTCCTTGGCCTTAAGAAATCAAGAAGAAAGAAGTATTTGATTTTTCAATCAAAAGGTGAAAATGGCGTGAGAGTGAGAGTAAAAATGGGGCTGCTGTGTTTTTGGTTTTACAATCACAAATGAGCTAAAAGGTTAAGGTTTTACAAATGAACATTTTTCTTTTATAGTAAAACCTCATACCCTATTCCCACATGGGATGGGCTTGGGCTCCAACCCAAACACCCCATGTTGCCAAACACTCCCAAATTAGATATTTTATTTATTTCATCATTATTTCAATTAAATCAATTATATATATATTTAATATATATATATATATATATATATATATATAATAATATATATATATATATATATATATATGATAATTTATTTAAATATATGCGAACAAATTTTAAACGGAATTTCACTTATTTAATTTTTCTACAAATTAAATAAAGGTTACGACCTCAGCAAATTTAATTGCACCGTGAAATTACCAAAATACCCTTTCGCCCAAAAAGACGAAAACGCCTTTCTTTCTTCTTGGCTCTTAAATTATCTTCATATGTGGGACCCATAGACCCTCATCATACCGGTAGTGTTAGTATCGCGTTAACACCAATTAATCGTCTCACTTATGCACAGACAAGATTGGCCCCTAGCAAGGCATCATGGCCACCGATAGATTCGGATTAGCAAAGAGCTACCTATCAACGAATGGTTACCGCACAATTGATCCTTTCATCATACGTTATCTCGACGAGATGAAGGCATAGAAATAGTGTCAACCCCAGTTACTCTCGATATTATATATTAAGTTTCTGGATCATGACCCGTATTATAATGGATAAAGCAAAAACTCAATCCCACTGTGGCCACAGTTTTAGTGTCATGCATATACTGAATTACGCCTTGAGATAACTTCTCCCGTACCGGGAGTGATGAATCCTCTGTCAATCCACCATAGTCTTGATACACTCCTCGATGCAGCCAATCACCACCGTATTGAAAACTCTGAATAGAACTGCATTAGGCTAGTGTCAAACTGTACCAATCGGTGCACAAGGCGCTATGGTGATCTTAAGTCTAAAGATAATGCACCACCATTCGTTAGAGGATTTGTTCCATAGACACTGGGGTTACCATCCATATGGAATCCTCTGGTGGGTCAGTCCAGTGAACTTGCTGCGGTGTATCCGCCTACAACAAGCACCCATGTGTTGCACCAGGTTGTCACCAAACAACCTTAACAAGTGAGATCAGTCACTGCCTTTCGACAAGGTCATTCAACACTATAATAGCCTTACCGTATTATCTGTGCCCTTACTTTAGAATAATACTGGGCTACGGACGTTTCTAGAATGGCCACCATATGTGCTCATAGGGTTCTCACTATCAAGATTTGAAACACTTGATACTCTCGTCACAGTTCTACCATTCTAAGGACATATATCAATACATATTGCAATAATCATGATTTACGCGATATAGGATAAAATGCCTTTTATTATTGATTAATGAGCATTATTACAAAGAGTCAATTCTACAATAATTGATTGGCTCTAGGGCATCTACTCTAACAGTTCAATCCTACCTTGGGTCGGTAGCGAAATCCATTCAGAGACAAGTTGGAGGAGCCTCCAAACGTGCATATGATTTCTTAACTCTAAACTGATTTTTCTGCAGATTTTAATATAATGTATAAACTGTAAATTTGTGCCCTGATCTTGGTTCGAAGGAACAATCCATGTTGTAAATAATTTTTGTTTTCCGCTGCCATGACTTGATCGTTTCTTAACACTTTCTGCCACTTAGCAGCTTTGAGTGTCCAGTAATCCTTTTTACAGGTTTTTGTCCAACAAAAATTTAACTGGCCCCCTTGATAGATATAAAGTTTAATCCTTCGCAAGTGCACGAGTCACAATCGTAGCATAGTGCACGAGTAAGGGTCGATTCCACAGAGACTGGAGATGCTCTTGCGATCCTAGAAACTATGCCTTAATAAAAGTAACAAGAATGAAATAAAGAAAAACACATAAACAACATTAAAGTAAATCTAAATCTAACTATCTACAAAGAATCCTAGGGCTCTAACTCCATCATAACTATCAAGCTACGTGTTCATTATCAAACTGTCGTTCAACCCACTTTATTTTAGGCTACGTGTTTATTTTTATCTTTGAAGGGACAAATTTTGATCCTGCGGTACATCTTACAGTAATGTTTCAGACATTATTATTATTCTTGCACAAGTTTTCTAAATACAGCTCGTTCCTCAGACATGAATTCTCTAGATTCTCATTGAGGGATATTTAGAGGGTACCTGACTGGGGAGGGGTTTTACAAGCTAAGAATTGGTTGACCTCATTATCAGCAGGCTCGATTGCAACCTAGTAACAGATGACACAAAAATTCCTAAGTAGGTATTTTCCTCCTACATAGACTAAATAGTTGTGTAATGATATTACTATGTTTGTGCAGGTGGATGCAAAGTCATTATACAAAGCATGGGAAAGGTTCAAGGACATGCTTTAGAGATGCCCCCACCATGAATTATTGGTTTGGCTGCAAGTCCAGCGTTTTATAATGGTCTTAATAGTGAAGTTCAGAATATGATTAATGTTGTTACGGGTGGTACTTTAGGTAAGAAGACACCAGACCAAGCTTATGAATTATTGGAGGAAATGGCTTCAAATTCCTATCAATGGCTACAAGAGAGGTAGCCTGTGATAAGAACGTCAAGTGTTCATAACATAGATGCTATCACAGCTTTGGCAACACAAATGCAAATGTTGAATAAGAAGATTGATGGACTTCAAATGCAAAAACTTGCTATAGTTGCTTTTGTGTGTGATTTTTGTGGTGAAGATCACCCTAACCATGAGTGTCAGTCAGGTAACATGTTTGCTCTTAATTCTATGTCTAATCAAGCTAACAATGTTTCAAATTTTTGCAGGCCTAATAACAATCCATACAGTGAAACATATAATCCAGGGTGGAGGAATCACCCAAATTTCTCTTGGAGTAACAACAATCAAGTGAATCCTCCACCGTTAGGTTTCCAATCTCAAGAGAAGAAATCAAATTTAAAGGAGATGATGGCGAAGTTCCTAAGTACTACAGAGACAAGAATTCAGAATTAGGAGGCTTCCATCAAGAATTTAGAGGCTTAAATTGGCCAGTTGACCAATATCATTTTGGGTAGACAGCGAGGGCATTTACAGAGTGACACAGAAAAGAACCCAAAGGAGTAATGCAAGGCCATAACCTTGAGGGATGGAAAGGTGATTGGTGAAGAAGAATCACAAAAGAGGGTGGAAAGTGAAGCTAAGTTACTAGTCTCTATTGAAGAAAAGAACGTGAATTCAGAAAAAGAGATAGAGACTAAGGTAAAGGAAATTGCAAGAGATAAAGGAAAAGGTACATCAAATTATGACTTTGTTGTTGCTGAAAAAGATGTATCTGAATTTCTTTATCCCGATAGAGTTAGAAATGATAAACTGGATCAACAATTTCAAAGTTTTTAGATATATATTCCATTTGCTGAAGCCTTAGTATAGATGCCTAGCTATGTGAAGTTCTTAAAAGACATCCTTTCTAACAAACAAAAGATCGAGGAGCATGGGACAGTTATGCTCACTGAAGAATGCAGTGCCATACTACAAAATAAATTACCTCCTAAACTAAGAGATCCAGGGGGTTTTACTATACCTTGTGCATTAGGAGATTCATTCTTTGATAAAGCATTGTGTGATTTAGGTGCTAGTATTAATTTAATGCCTTTATCAATTTTTAGGAAGCTAGGACTTGGAGAAGTGAAAGAAACAAACATGTCACTCCTGCTTGCTGATAGATCAATCAAGCGACCTAAAGGCATTGTTGAAGACATTTTGTTAAAGGTCGACAAGTTTATCTTTCTGGTGGACTTCATAGTTCTTGATATGGAGGAGGACCGTGAGGTGCCTCTAATTTTGGGATGTCCATTTTTTGCAACAACTCGTGTTCTGATAGATGTGCAACGAGGAAAATCAATCTTGAGACTAAAAGATGAGGTAATAGTGTTTGATGTCCATAAAGCGATGAAAAGTCCTGCTGCATTTTATATTGAATCTTGTTCTCACTTTGACAATTTTGGTGAGATTGTAGGTGATCACAAAGAAGAAGTTCTGCAAAAGGATTCTTTGGAGAGATTTCTAATGGAGTCGAGCACAATAGAAGATGAAGACTCGTGCTTGAGAGAAAAATTTGAAGTGTCAGAGAAGGAATCTCTGACTAATAGTAATATGGAGGTAAGAAGGATTTGCATAAACTCCTAATGAGGCTCATAAACTTGAACTTAAACCTCTTCCTTCACATTTGAAATATGTTTTTCTAGATAAAGATGCTTACCCTGTGATTATTTTTGCATCTTTGACAGATTTGGAGGAGAATGTTAGAGTAGATGCCCTAGAGCCAATCAAGTATTGTAGAATTGACTCTTTGTAATAATGTTCATTGATCAATAAAAGGCATTTTATTCTATATCACGTAAATCATCATTGTATGTATTGATATATGTCCTTAGAATGGTAGAACCGTGACGAGGGTATCAAATGTTTCAAATCTTGATAGTGAGAACCCTATGAGCACATATGGTGGCCATTCTAGAAACGTATATAGCCCCAGTATTGTTATGAAGTAAGGGCACAGACAATATGGTAAGACTATCATAGTGTTGAACAACTCTGTTGAAAGACAGTGACTGATCTCACTTGTCAAGGTTGTTTGGTGATAACCTGGTGCAGCACATGGGTGCTTGCTGTAGCCAAGTTCACTGGACTGACCCACCAGAGGATTCTATATAGATGGTAACCCTAGTTTCTATGGAACAAATCCTCTAACGAATGGTGGTACATGTGATCCTTAGATTTGAGATCACCAGAGCGCCTTGTCCACCGATTGGTGTAGTTTGACACTAGCCTAACGTAGTTCTATTCAGAGCTGTCAATACGGTGGTGATTGGCTACATCAAGAATTGTATCAACACTATGGTTGATATACAGAGGATTCATCACTCCCGGGTACGGGAGAAGTTATCTCACAACGCAATTTAGTAAATGGCAGTGACACTAAAATTGTGGCCACAGTGGGATTGAGTTGTTGCTCTATCCAGATTATTATTCAGGTCATTGGTCTAGTAACTGAATACATACATATCAAGAGTAACTGAGGTTGACACTATTTCTATGCCTCGGTCTCATCGAGATAACACTTGATGAAAGGATTAGATTGTACGGTAACCATACCATTGACAGGTAGCTATTTCGCTGAATCCGAATCTATCAGGTGGCCATGATGCCTTGCTAGAGGCCAATCTTAGTCTGTGTGTAGTGAGACGATTAATTGGTGTTAATCGCGATACTGCACACTACCGGTATGATAAGGAGCCTACGGGTCACACACATAGAAGATAAGTTAAGAACCAGTTTGTAAGAAGGGCATTTTCGTCTTTTTAGGGGAAAGGGTCTTTTGGTAATTTCACAGTGCAATTAAGTTTGTTGAGGTCGTAGCCTTTATTTAATTTGTTAATTAAATTAAATAAGTGAAATTATATTTAAATATGTGTTCGCATATATTTAAATAAATTATTGTTATTGTTAAATGTTAATATATGAAATATATATATATATATATTAATTGGATTTAATTGAAATAACAATAATAATTAAAATTAAAATATCTTAAAGGGGCTGATTGGATACAAGGGGTGTTTGGGTTGGAGCCCAAGCCCATTCCATGATGGAATAGGGCAAAGTGTGTAGTATATAAGTGCAACACTTTGTGAATTGTTTAAGTTAGTTCATTCATTCATTGAAAGCAAAATATTCAAGCGCTTTTTCTTCTCTCTCTCACGCCAAATTTCTTTTGCTTGAAGAAAATATTTCATTTGATTTTTCATCTTGGTTCTTAAAGGCTAAAGAGGATCTAGCAAATACCTCTTTAGTTCCTTTAGGTTGTCTTCGTGTGGACTACATTGGTTTGATCCTACACTTGGGTCGGCAGCAAAACCCATTCTGGGACAAATTGGAGGAGCCTCCAAACGTGGGTATGGTTTCTTAACCTTGAACTGCTTTATTGCAGATTTAATATGTTGTATAAACTGTAAATTTGTGCCCTGATCTTGGTTCAAAGGAACGATCTATAATGTTTAAATAATTTTTGTTTCCGCTGCCATGTATGATCGTTTCCTAACAAGAAGTCACTGCTAGACATTCTGAGGAAGCACAAGAAGGCTATAGGATGGACAATTGCTGATATCAAGGGAATAAGCCCTTCTATCTACATGCATAAGATCCTCATGGAAGAAAATTTCAGGCCAACAATATAACCACAAAGGAGATTAAATCCTACCATGCAATAAGTGGTAAGAAAGGAAGCAGTAAAACTACTTGATGCAGGTATTATTTATCCTATCTTTTATAGTAATTGGGTTAGTCCCGTGCAAGTAGTGCCTAAGAAAGGGGGAATGACTATAGTGAAGAAATGAAGATAATGAGCTTATCCCACTAGGATGGTAACTAGATGGTTTGTGTGTATAGACTATAGAAAATTAAATTCTGCCACCAGGAAAGACCATTTCCCATTACCATTTATTGATAAGATGTTAGAGAAATTAGTGGGTAATAAATTTTATTATTTTCTTGATGGTTACTTTGGTTATTATCAAATTCCTATTGCTTCAGAGGAGCAAGAGAAAACAACATTTACTTGTCCTTATGGCATGTTTGCTTATCGATGTATGCCATTTGGTTTATGTAATGCACCGGCTGCTTTCCAACGCTGCATGATGGCGGTTTTCTCTGACATGAGTGAAATATTTGTGGAAATTTTCATGAATGATTTTACGTTGTATGGACTAACCTTTGAATCTTGTTTGCATAATCTTTCATTAGTTTTACAGTGTTGTGAGGAATCAAATCTTGTGCTGAATTAGGAGAAGTGCCATTTTATGGTACAAGAAGGTATCATGCTTGGACACATGATCTCTGAGTGAGGGATTGAGGTTGATAAAGCAAAAGTGGAAGTGATTGAAAAATTATCTCATCCAGTGATAGTTTAAATAGTCAAAAGTTTCCTTGGCCATGCCAGATTTTATAGAAGATCCATTAAAGATTTCTCAAAAATTGCAAAACCTTTATCTAATCTTTTTGCCAAGGATGTAAAATTTAACTTTGATTCTGAATGTTTGCAGGCCTTTAATTTGCTAAAGGAGAAGCTAGTGATAGCACCAATAGTGGTCGCACCGGATTGGAATAGCCCATTTGAAAGTATGTGTGATATGAGTGACTATGCCATTGGCGTCGCCTTGGGTAAAAGGAAAGACAAAATGTTTCAGATCATATTCTATGCCAGTCATACCTTAAATGGTCCACAACTGAACTACACAACAACCGAGAAGGAATTTGTATCAATGGTTTTCGCATTTGAGAAGTTTAGATCATGCCTCATAGGCACGAAATCCATAGTCTACACAGATCACTCAGCTCTATGACATCTCTTTGTTAAGAAGGATGAC